TTCAGGTAAAAAGGACAGCCTGTCAATGAGATCTTCTGCCCTTTAGGATCCATGGTAGAGGAGCATGGTTGTGAAGAAGGCATGGTCATACAGCTGCTCTGCTTTCACAGACTTCTGGTGCTCCACCTGGCTGCCTGCGCCGCCGTTGTTCTCAGATGAGTCGCTGTAGGAGAGTTGGCCGTGGAGGATTTCTGGGTAACACCCAAATGGAAGCTCCAGTTGATTGTGGCCATTTGAGGAAATATCCTCACCTGCCACTGAAAATGAGAAAAAATGTCAAAGGGCATATATTGATTTGTGACAATATTCCCTTTTCTATAAATATGGAAAGAGAGGCAGGGGGGGGGGGAAACTTAAGAAAAATAAACATTGGACTGAATGTCAACACACTAGAGAAGAATACCTTTTGCTTTCACAAAAAGTTGATCAATAAATTGCCATGTACATTCCAGAGCCAAGTTCTGACCTCCTGTTTTAAATAGGTCACATCCTGATCTGTGTCATACAGTCACTGCTGTATGACACTGACCTAGTTCTGTCTCCACCGCAGTGTTTAAGCTCCTGCATCAAGTGAAGAAAACCTTAAAACTTTCAGACGCGTTGGCATGCCATAATCCAAAACCCAACATAATGAGCAGACACTATTTAAAGTTTAGTGCAATTACTTTCATGTATATATTCATAAGTCTTCCTTTGCATTAATCTGAAAATAATTCAGCAAAAATACCATAAGAACAGGACTTGACAGATGCACGAGAATACATCAAGAAAACAAACGTCCACCAGTCACATGTATAAAATGAATCAACATTTAATGATTTCACACAATCAGGTACAAAGCTAAACCTGCTCAGTACTAAGCATTGTATGTTCCAAACTGAATGACAACACACTCAAACGTTCCACCATGTAGGGCAAAGTAAACAGAAACCAACTAACATGAACTTGTTCTACAAAATACAGAAAGAACACAGAATCTCCGTAACCAGTATCTATAAAAGTTGAATATTGTACATTAAGTTACTGTTCGACTATTCAACACAGCTCGAGAAATAAGGCTTTTTTGCGAATACATGCAAATTTTCTTGAGCAGTACCGTTTAAAAGTAACTACTGATTGTAAAATGGCCAATTACCAATTTCTAAAATCAGATTGGGTATTATGCAACCTACAGATCTGCACAGCCCTGCTAGTTGCCTGAAAAAACCCCCCCTTTGCTTACAGTAAACAGTCACCATACTTTGAGCATCAAATAAGCAGAGAAAAAAAAGAGAAATAAGCAAAATTCAAGCCCATGGAGCACTATGTCCGAGTACATGACACCTAAAAAAACACAACAAAAAGCTGCAGTGAATCGTTTATACTTTACAAGCTACATTCATGTTGGGATATGCTTTGGCATAAGGCAAGTATTGAATACAAAACAGCGTCAACTAATGTGTGGTAACGGTTAACGTCAGAAGACATTTCCTCTGTGTATATTAATATTATATATTTTATAGAAATGTCATCGCCAATTGAGCTTTATTTAAAATCCAACTATACTCGAATAAACTCAACTTGGGGGGAAACATGTAACTAAAGGAAACCATCCAATCAACATTTAGATAAAATCTCCCACGTATATACTCTTTTCTCTGATAGAATTGCAAAGAAACTATTTTTCTAACCTATTCAGGATGAAAGTCAGACGTTCCCAGCACAATGGAAACATCTTCATGACCAATGAAGTTCACCTTCATGCTATTATGCAACAATGCACAATATGACAAGCAATAAAGACGACCCTGACTTATGTCCATTTGCACTGGTGGCCCGGCCGTGTCGAGGGGATGCCAATAACTTTGAGTTTTCTGGGATGCTGCTATATAATTGTGCAAAACAAAACTCATCCTTCTATCATAAATCTACTGAATAAAATCATTACAACAATAATCTGTATATCTGGACGGATGTGTTAAATATAGCTGTATAACAAAGAAATCTCAATATCTTTAACCATCCGAGTAGAACTAGGAACATGGAAATGTAGAAAATACAGAACACACACACACGGCTATACATCTTTTAAATGTAGCTTACCACAAAATCAAAACAAATGCACTCCTTTATGCACGTGTTGTGCAAAAATAGCCAGACAATACCAAAAAGATATACTGCACAAAAGGGGAACATTAGCATGTGGCCTCTACAGGTAGGCATAAGAGTTGGTGCAGCGACACGGGGTCTGCATCGATGCCACAGTGATGACCTCCAGCTCTTTAGTGGCAGAGCCAGACCGGCCTCGTGCCCCCTGGTCCTCACACTGATCCGTGAGCCCCGGCCCTTGTGGTGGCGCAAACCCACTCAGCCCAAATGCAAAGGGTCCTGGCCCACCTGAGGTTACGGTCGCCGCCAACTCCATGTTCGTGCTCTCCATCTGGGCCTGTCCGCCGCCGCGTGGCCCATTCCCATTAAGAAACTCTGGTGGCAAGCCCAGACCTACGAGAACAAGATGCAGACAAACGGAAAGCTAAGAACGTCAAACATGACAGAAACATTAGGCCATGGTGTGCTGCTTTTACAATTAATACGATACTGGATTTTTGAATTTGAATCATTCAGTCAAATCTCCAATTCGCCATGAATCCCTTTTTTTAAGTATCTTGTCATCCACTTTATATTATGGTTCTGAACTTCAAGCCCACTCTACTGCAGCACTGTCAGTTGAGAAAGCCAATCAGAAGCCTCATTGTTCCTTTACAGTTGTTTAATAACAGAAAACCACCTACAGGTGATGCCTGAAGCTAAAATAAAGTTTGTTTAAAGTCTACAAATAGAGTACAGTTTATGTTGGTCCTCCATTTTTCCATGAAGGCCGACACACACAGACCCCACACGTCTTGTATTTGTATTAAGCATGACTGCATGTGCAGCAGTCTAAACTAATAAAAGTTGTTCCAGCTGGAGCATGCTGATGCGCCTTTTCCTTTCAAAGAAACCCTGAAAAAAAAAGAAAAAAAAAAAGAAAAAGTCTAACCGCAACTAAACAGATTTGACGAGCTCAGTGACCTACCGTTGGGTTTCACCTTCTTCACCGGGTTCGCTTCCATGCCGTCGAACGACCTCTTTCTGTTGGGCATGCCGTTCGAGAAGCTGCGTCCCTGGATGGTGGGACGAGCGTGGTGGCCCCCGTTCTGGGTCATGCCATTCAGAAAAGACCCGTTATGGGACTGGGCCATGTTTTGTTGGAAGTTCTGGGCATTGGAGAGAATCTCTGCGCACTCCTGGAATCCCTGGGCGTGGGCCAAGTCAGCAGCAGTCAGCCCACTGGCATTCCTCATGCTGCACAACGAGAAGGGCGAGTGTTAGGGACACTCACTGTACGCTTGAGTTACACAAATAAAAACACAAACAGAATAAGACACGCTCAAGCGCCCACACACATACACACTCATTAAGCAAGTATTCACTCTCACACACACACGCACGCACGCACGCAGACAGACACATAGATGTATAGAAATAGCCTGTGCTGCTCTACCCGCTCACATCATATTCGTCATCCTCATGAGATGACGACTGATCCGTTTGGATCATTGGCTTCTTCCATAGAACTTGAATCTTGACAAAGTTTCCAAATAATTAGGGAAACATGTCTGCTGCAAGAGGACATGATTAGGACAACTGTAGGTGTGCACCTGTTTATTCTGAGGAAAACCTGATGCAACGGGACAAGATGACTAAGACGTTTCTATCAAATGATGGTTGAATCCAAGAGGAGGAGCTTCTTCTCATCTGCAGGAGAAATGTGACATCAAGGAGGATTTTCTCTCTTTTTTTTTGGCAAAGGGGTGAAAGGCCGCCGTCTTCTCACATTTCCACCGCTGATACTGCTCAAGGATTTCTGAAAAGCCGCATCCAGACTCCAGCAAACTATTTAGCCATGTGCCAAATGTAAAGATGCAGAACGTAAACCAAAAGAGCGGCGACAAGTTGTAGTCCGGAGAACAGAGCGGTGACAAGAGACGGTGCAAAGCAAGATTGTAGAATTCTTCCAAGACAAGTACAAGGTGATCATCCGAAGGAAGGCGGGTATGCAAGTTGTATCTTCAGAGGACAAATCACAGAAGGCAGACTACAACCTTCAGCCAGTAGAAATCCAGGAATCCTCTGGCGGGAAGGTGAAGCTGTAGAGGCGCAGTCGTTATCTCGTCTCAAGAGAGATGAACAAGAGGATGAAAAGCTACTCTAGAGGCGTTGGTACCGCCATTCATTGTTAAACTTAAGAGTCTTTGCACTACATACAGTTGTGTCAATCATATCCGGGCACAGCAGGTCTGAGATTATTTTCAGAGTTCAATAATGAATGAGCAAACAGTATTTCATAGGTTTTCAATATCCAGACATTGAGTATGGAAGCAATTTCACTGGAAAATAAAACCCTATTCCGTCTTATTAATGTGAATAACACTAATTTAATTAAGGATAAACTCGTCTTGTATATGTTTATCAGTGTGTTGTTGCTGCAGTTAATTAGTGAATATATTGCCAGATACAACACATTACATTGTGTCCTGCTGATGAGAAATGATTGTGGAGGAACAAATGTCCTCCTCCGACCCGGAGAGGCCTTTTTGCTTAATGATGAGAATTTCTCTCCTCTCCAAACGGCCAATTACACAACAATGCTGCACTTGTTCGGTGTCTAAATGTCATCGAACTGCAAAAATGAGTTCTCCAAGCAAATAGTCTTTGTCAAAGAATTGGGACTCTGGCCCACATCCAAGCTTATATTTACTATTAAAAACGTGACAGAAACCATGAAAGCTTTACCATCGGCAGTGTGTTCTGTATACATATCATTGTACAGAGGATCGGTTACATCCATCCGTGATTAAACTCTACTTCTATAAACACTGTATTCTATGTTATTTAACTCTACTGTTGACTGAAAACTAAGTGACATTGACTTCCACACAATGAATGAATTCAAAGTACGCTGTTTGCTCATTCATTTGGTTTCTAATTTCTTCTTTCTCTGCTAATTTATCTAAACAGTTCAAGAGCTAGTGCACATTACAAACATTTGATAAAGAATTTAAGAATGAAAAAACAAGGAAAATTAAAATCACACAATAACTTGTTGCACATTACCCGTCCCCTTCAAAATTAACGCTTCCAAAGGATTTTTCCTGAAAGATTAAATTTATGTCAGAAACATCATGTTATGGTAAGGTAGATGGATCGGTCTCACTCCAAGAAAGATTTTTTCTAAATGGCGAAACTTTTTTTAAAGTCAATTCAACAACCAAGTACGATAAAAACATAAATATATATATTTCTTTGAACAGAAAAAGTTGACTGAGCAAATCAGTATGGACGATTTTAAGGAATTTACAGCATTATCTTATCCTTTAAGCAATAATCAGATACATTATATTTAATGTAATTCTTTCCTTTTTAAATGCTACACAAAGTACATGTCAATACTTGTCCAGAGGAAGTCCGGTTCTTAACTCTGCAGCCTCTGGAGCCAAACCTCCCATCTCTGGCTTTCTGTTTAGTTTCAAGTTTAAAAGAATTTTAGGAATTTAGGGAGTATACGATCTCTGACAAAGCTCTCATAGAAACTCCCACATAGTTCTGGGCTTATCCCAGACTTGTTTTAAAGTTGTATCAAAAAGAAGCAAGGATGGTTTCATGTGCTGTAGCCTTACAACAGCAGATGTTAAGACATTTATTTATGTTTTGGATCCACAAAAACAAAAGCTGGGTGTTCGGTAAACTCAGATTCTCCTCAAATTAGATGGAAATTCTAAACTATTTTGTCTCCTGAATAAATCCCTGTTGTTCACAGTATTCCTTTAGTGAGACCTGACATCTACAGTCAGCACTGATCCAAAAGATGGATAACAGTACTAGTTAACCCAGTTTTGATATGGAAATTGAAAAAGGAAGCGTTAATTCTTTGATAATGCCTGGTATGCTTTGCTTTCCCGTCCTAAGCACACAATGTGTCTTCTCTAGCTATCTTCTAACCCTCCAGAGGCAACCTATTATCATGCTACATGTTGACATGGGACTCACGTGATTAAAACCTGTCCATATTAAGGGCTCCTATGGTTAGTTCACAAAATAAAAAACAAAAAATCATAAAATCATAACAAAAAAGGCTAGATACAGGAACAATCATGGATAATAAGCAAAGCATGCAGGTCTAAAACTTTAGTTTTAAGTCATAAAAACCTAGCATTAAAACCAATCACCGCAAGAAATACCTCAACAGTTTGCCAGTGTGTAGATAGGAAGCGATAGTGAGAACACTCAATGCCACAACAGTGCGGCTATCCCAGGGAACGGGGCAGACTCAGCAGTGTCTATTCTTCCCCTTTCTAGGATTACTTGAAAAAACCAAGTCATTTCCAATTCAATGGCTGCAAAACATTAAGACGTATGGTTCTGTTTCAGTGTAGAAAACTTTTTTTTGAAAACTTGTCACTTTCATAAAAGGAAAAGGTGACAGAAGATCAGAACAGACTGTGGTATTGTATAGGGTTAATACTGTGACATACAAAAGAAAACATTTCTGTGTATGAGGTGATAATATTTGATACAGTGAAATGACAGTGAATAACCATGGCAACAGGATGATTGTTAGCATTACACAGTTCAGTACATGATGGTGTGCACATCTAACCCGTCTAGCTCTGCTGCTCTACACTCTCTGCATTACTCTCAACACCGGCCGCCTCGTAACACATTCCTGTCTGCTGCTAGCTAATGGACCACCGTAGCACTCTGAGGCTCATGACAAACGATAACACTCTTTTTAATGACGACACATGTTAGAAATTAGAAAAAGGTTACTTCTTTTCTATGTTTTACAGGTAAAGTTAAGCTAATTTTGTCCCTTTGAGAGAAATGGATTTTGAATTATATTATGTTTTGTTTAGGAAAACCTTTCTTCATGTTAGGTCTTCTGTTGTACCTTTTAATTAAGACGCAAAGGCCGAGGATATTGAAGTACTTTGGGTAATTGGGATTAAATGGAGAGCCGACAAGGGGAAGTGAGCAAGTGAGAGCAGTTTCTTCAAGGCAGGGTAAGAAGACGAGACTGTTCCGGGCATACCGATGTAATACTTGCTGTCCCAATGGAAACGTCTTCTCACTTTGTAATGGGACAAAGATAAGCAACACACGAGGATGATGAGCGTACTTTCCTCTTCTGTCATTCAAATACATGTATCCCTTCGACCGGAACCAGGACTCTCTCCAGTGCAGGCATGTGCAAGGAAAATGTGTAAATATGAATTGTTGCATCGGTGTAGAGGTAGATGGGCTTTAGGGAACAGGGAAATAAATCCATCCACCATACTACTGGTATGTTAAAAACCCCAAGTTCCAGTTGATCTCGTATACTGTTCTTTGAAGACAACATTTCATGAAAATGGATAAAAGCCTCTGAGGGTGAAAGCTTTAATTCATATTTTGGACATTAAAATGCATCCAAATATTTTATAGACAACACCAGACTGAGGTATCGGGGCCCCTGACTCAAACCGGAAGTCAACCATCAGGAGCTACTGGGCGATTAATGATCATCTGTGGCCTCGAGGTTTCATGGTGCTCGGGAACCACAGTCGGCTCTTTACAGAAGCCATTTAGCAGACTGAGTGCGTTGGACCAGTGGTGGAGCAGATGGTGAGAGAGCTCTCTGAATGGCAATTCTGCCTAATGAATCAGAGATGGATCCATTTAGTGCGGTTTCTCCTGTGTATCCCCCCCCCTCCCCCTCTCTTCAACAAGCAAAAGGCTGACTATGCCAGTGCAAAGAGGAAAAGTAACAGCTGCAAAGTGTTGTAAAACACATTCCGCGCATACAGTTCAGGAGGAAAGATCACCGACAAGTTAATTATCTCCTCTCACGAAGGAGCCGACCAGAGGGCCAGCTGCAATCTTTGAGGTGAACTCAAGAGCAACACAAGATGTGTGATGCAAAGCGTTTGATCAGAAGATGAAGGCTCTTTAAAAAAAAAAAAGAGCTTAACAAGGTGAGAGGTTAGCAAAGAAGGTTTCCAGCAGGAAACATCTGTGATAACAGCAAGGACTAACAAGTTACTGACACAAAGTTCAGTGGCCCTACTATTGATGTTCGTGCAAAGCAATAAGTAAGTAGCATCATTGTTGAAGGTTGAATTTTGAGGATTTTTTTGTATTGATTTTTAAATTTTAAACCTGTTGAGTGTATTATGGATGGCTATGCAAGTTTCAATAAAGATATTGTTAAACTCCACGCAGTGGATTAAGAACTACAAATGGGAGTACTTCACTGGAGTTACTCTACTGAAATACTGGACAAAACAGACTCCGTTAATAGGTTCTATATACGGGATTCAGAGCATCACTATAGCAGCAAACAACTGTGTGTAATGTAAAGATATAGTGGAGTAATGGCTACCTGAGAAGAGAGTAAAGTTGCTCTCCCTCTCTATGTGCTTTGCTTACATAGCTGCACCTGCTGCGCATGCGTTTTAGTGCATTGAGTCTCTCTACTAGGTTTCCCCCGGTACAATTGTTTTGCAATGATAGCGCTGTCAGCATCGTTAGCAGTCTACTCCATATTGAGAGTTGCATGGAGGATATAAATATGCTCGTAATTCCCAACAGAGTGCTGGAGCAATGAGTCTGGAAAACCCGGAAATGGGTTGGCACCTTTGCACTTACTGCGAGACATCTAAGCATCATCACAGCCGACCCTGGTCCGCTTTCAGCTTAGTGGTGTTGATGGTGAAGCCGTACTACCGCGGTGTGGTGGAGATAGTTTACAGCCCAGAGCTTATTTTCTGTAATAATCCCAAAATCCTGTTGGCTTTATGTCGAGGGATGCAGTGCGATGCTAACTGTTAATATGCTCCGATTTCCATATAGAGAACCAGACGTGTACCTGGCTTCACTACACTGTACACAGTTGTTCTTAGATGTGAGACATTGTCAAGCGGTCTCCAAAAATGAAACGTGCGATCAGCAAACAGACGAGAGATCTTAAGAGATGGTTGAGAGCATGTAGGTATCCACAACATGTTACCATTAAAACGGACATTCATAAATAGTGATGGGTTATTTACAGGATAGTATCAATGCAACTGTAATGTCTTGTTGAAATACTATTATATTATTAACTTTATACATTAACTACATACTGAATTTTCTGCAATCGTGTTGCACTACTACTAAAAATACAATATGAAAAAGATTGTAACTAGACCAGCATTTATGATTTTGATTGACTATGAATATGTCAATTTATACACAGAATCTAATCTATTAAGTCAAATGGCATATCGTTTCTGGAATTTTATGTTCCATTTTAATTTAAATATTTTTCTTTTTAGTTTCAGTGCTATTTAGCGTTCAACTTCTGTTTGGCTTTGATTCTTCTTTGTGTTTTAAAATTAGAACGCTTCAAAAATATGAATGAGAAATTTTAACTTTCTTGGTAACAGACATTTGACACAAATACATTTTGAAGTTAGTCTAAAGTTATTTTGTCATGAGCCTCATTTCCACCCAGTGTGCCTTATTTCCCCTCCAAGTTGTGCCTCTATACATTTCTGGGTCATAAATTAAAAGAAATAACCTGATAATAAACTGAACTAAATGCATAATCTATAATCTGTAGGAGGGAAAAAAAAAAATCACTCATCATTTTTATCATGAATATTACTTTTCAGCTGATAACCAAATGCACATTACCTCAATAAGAACTGAGGCATTTATTACATATATATATATATATATGCCTACATGAACACATTAACTTGTTTAAACAGGCAAATCAACCAGGAGTTTTGTGGAAAATGAGTACAAACCAAATCACATTGGTTAACAGTCAGACTAACACAAATAAAAGTGCCTCAGCTGTCAGGATCAACTAACCTGCATGAAAAGGTAGAACTACTTACAGTTCATGTGTTTCTTCTTTGTGTTTTATGTACCTGGGGCCATGGAGTCCAATGAACAGAACACGGTGATACTTGTTTCATGTTAGCATTCCTTACTGGAGCCAGAGGTAACTGGATGCCGAAAGTCAGCCGAACTAGTTTCAAACGTCATTCAATGATTATCCTCGTTCCAATATTTCACTCTGGTAAATATGATGACATTTTTTCACTGACATCATTTGCTGGATTTAAAAAGACTACATAAAGATAATTTTCTCTACACACAATGAACTGAGCATGTGTAAACCCCCTGGTTGTTTTGGGTCTCTCGAGTCAATCATCAGAAGAAGAAAGGCGTACAGCTTGTTGCAAAAAAAAGAAACCGCAAGTAAAACAATAGTTGAGCTGAGAAAGACTAAATGGCTCATTTAAATATGAATCTTTCATTTAAATTATGCTGCAACATTTAATGTCAGCTTCTTAGAATAGAAGATATTACTCTAGCCAAAGAATTGATTTATGAAACTTTGAAAGAGTATGAGTAACAAGCAGCTCAAAAGTAATGTTTACATCCAGCAGTAGGTCAATTAAAAGTCCATTGAGTTGACTGTACAGGACCTACGAGTTAAGACGTGAAAGGCAACACAAAAAGTAACAATCATTTGTGATTGTTTAGTTTCCCTACAGGTCTGACATCTGAATTTAAGAAAACAAGAAAGACGGGTTGTGTCTCTTCTGCTTTTGTTAATGTGGCGAGTGCACCAACAACAATGTATCCTAGTAAACGAAAAAGCACACAAGGAGCTGCCAACAAAGAAGGTGTGGCTAAGTACTACATTTATGTAAGTTATATAGCCACTTCCTAAAATACCAGTAAGAAACACGGTGGCTGGTTACATACATAATGGAAATTGACTGTCTGATAATCTAGTTCATGTATTTAGCAGTTTCCTAAAATATTAGGTTTGCAACCAATTATGTTTGATTGATGCATTTTCATTCTATGCAACAGAACCATAGCCTTTTCATACTAAAGGTTAAAGCTTCAGAAAAAGAAGCAATGTGCATTTGGTCATCCAGTCAAGCTGTATATGTAAGACAGTAACCAAAACAAATATTAAAAGAAAAATCACACTAAGTTTAACAGATATCATGCAATATGGCTTACTATACTAAGAACAGTTCATCAATCTTTACATTAAGTTGTCCTCTTGTACACGTAATAACTGTGCTGGATTTACAAAGCTGGTACCTAATAAAGGCACTGTGCTGAGGTAATTATCTACTTTTATTCAACAACTATTCCTGAAATCACAAATATAATTTGAAAGTGTGTGCTGAATATGAATGAACGGTACTTAATTCCTATGAACTTAACATGTATTTGCCAATATTATTACACAAAGAGGTCAACTTAATGCGAATTGTTGCAACGATAAACAACAATTTCAAGGAATAACAAAATGTGTAACGTTTTCAAGGGAGCGCCACCAATTCTGTTAATATTCTCATATAATGTCTGTCGTGATCAAACTGTCTTTAAGCTGGACTAAAGAATCATCACTATTATGTCATGTGAACTTTAGCATTGTGCAACAACGACAACATGTCAAGCCAACTAAAAGTCTAATCCTAAATTACAATTCCCAGCTATTTAATAAACTGAATACAATCAATAACTAAAAGCACAATTCTTTGGTGTACAATTTAAACACCAGAATTGATCACGCATTAACGGGACATGGTGTTTTATTGTAAGGATCATAAAAAGACTTAAGTCTGTACTTCTCTTGAAAGTTATGTTGAAATGTTAAAAATATGCCCAGCACTGTTTCACAGTTGTGTATACTGTACAGTCTGAAGTTAGCCAGGAGGAAGCTGCTCTATTAAATGCTAAGTATCCAAATGTAGAGCTCCAACTTCTTCTATTTGCATGTTTCATAAAATTGTTAACATGTACAATCTAACGTTCAAATCTGTAAAGTTAATTTGCCGATCCTCTGCATTTAAATGCTACATTTAAATGCTGTCCCTGCTCTGATTTGGTGGCGGTCCCTTGCAAAGGTGGAACTCAGATGTTGGGATAGTACAGAGGAAAAGAAATGAAGACACAGATCTGATCACAGGACTTACTCAGCTTTCGCTCCCTGAATCAAGAGAGCGTTGATACACTCCAGACTGCCCGCACGAGCAGCCTTGTGGATGGGCGACTCGCCCACATAGTCCTGAGCGATGACAAAAGAAAGCAGTTGCACATAAAAAAAGCATGACTGTTATTGTGCACAAGAACAGTGGTAAGGAGCCAAACACTGTTTTAGATACAAAAATATGTTTGTGCGAGTATTGTTTTGATTATATACCCTCCCTAACTGCCTTTTGTCTCTATTTACAGTTAAAAAAACAGAGGTGTAACAGGGCGTAACTCTACACCACCACCCACACATATTTACAGTTACACATTAGTAGGAGTCCCGATGGAAGAGAGAGGGAGGGGAAAAACCACATACACCAGAAGGCTTTTTCAAACCACAATGTAATGTGGGAGGAGCTTAAATACTGCAGAAATATTAAAAATCTAAGAGAGAAGGTCACAAATTGTAGTTTATTTTAAATTGTGCTGAGAAAATTCAAAGCCAACTGAAAGAAATGCGTTTCATGATGACGACAACTGTTATGTAATCCGTGACCTACTAATCTGATTTCTCTCAGCAGTGCAGCGGAGCTTAAAATACAGCCCTGTGCATGAGGCTGCATGGAAGGCGGAACAAAGACTAAAAATAAAGAGTGACGAGTAAAACACACGACGGTCTGAGAACAAATACAGTCTCAGAAAATGAGATGACCATAACATGGAAAAAAAAAAAATCTGGTTGAGACTTAAATAGCAACAGTAGATTGCTACAGGGTCGTGACCCCACTTTAGAGTGATCTTTTCTTAATGGGATCAGTCAGAGTTCAACCTCTCACACTGCACTAGTCTTTTATCTCACGCATGTGTACCTCCGCCTGTATACTTTTGAGGTGTTTTGGGGTTGCTGTGGTTTTTTACGTTTCTTAAATGTTGAGTCACATGTAGTTTACTGTCTCTTTGTAATGTGCTGCTTTGCTTGTACAGTTGAAATCCCCCGGTGTACAGCATGCAGACATGTGTTTTAGTGTGCATCACGATGTCGTACCTGTCTGTTAATATCTGCACCAGCTTGGAGTAGCCATAACAAGCACTCAGGGTGGCCCCCAAAGGCAGCAATGTGAATGGGCGTCTGTGCAAACCTGGAGGTCATCGCATTCACGCCACAGCCCACCTGAACCAGACGCATCACACACTCCAGCTGTGGAGACACAAGAAGGGCAGCGCATGGGAAAGTCAGACGGATAACAAAAGGCATGCGCAGTGGTTAATTCATTCCTCGCTTTCCAGGAAGCCATTGGGCAGGTATAGACAAGTGGACTACAGTAGCTGCTTAGAGGCAAAAAAAATGCAACACTATTGCCTTGCCTGAGTACACATTGCTGTGGGCATGCATCCAACTTCTATGCAAACTGTAGGCCCTCCCTTTCTAAAGTGTACCTTAGTTAGTGTAAAACAAATCTTAGCCTAACTATGTGTGTTTCTTCAGGAGGAAAGTTGAGTTGCAAGTACACCACATGTTATAAATATAACTTTAGACAATTATTTCAGAAGATGAATAGTCATTGGTACAGTTTTATGCTCACATTATCGCCTAGTTTTAAATTATTTAACGTTAAGTGTTTATTAATGTCAGTGACGTTTAAATTAATTAGTGTAAGTTAAGCTAACGTTAGCTGAATAAACTAGCTTTATTTTGTTATTGTTCCTTTGTCCACCTCTCATCTAACTTACTGTTAAAATGGTTCCCGCTCGACGTGAGGTTTTTACTCGCGGAACATTAACATGATTTAACTATATTGAAAGCGTTATTTTACCTAAAATGTATAATTGTACCGTTTATGTTAACATCCGTTGACGTTAGCTAGAGAACAGTATCAAATGTAACCTTTATGGTCCATTGTCCGCCACCAGTTAACGATGGCTGCTTGTCGGTCCCAACGGCTAACATTAACCGTTAACGGAGGAGGGAACATGAGAAAATGGTCGAGACGAGGATCATGTCGGAGACTGATGGCGCTCAATCTGGCCACCATTCATTTCGGGAAATCGTGTCCCGCTAAATACCCACAGCTAGCGACTGAGCTAACCTTTCCGAAATGCGCGGCCCAGTGAACAGGCGTCCAGCCGTAGAAGGTGTCCTCCACCGAGAGGTCAGCCGGGTTTGAGGTGCCCTGAAGCAGGGCGCACAAGGCACCGACGTCTCCATCCCTGCACGCCCGATGGAGAGGGAAGCGGCTGTTTAACACCTCCTCGCTCGAGAATCCAGACTCCACACCCACCGACATTGTAGCAAAATGTATAAATAACTACTTTAAAATAGACAACAACAAAGACTATATGTTGTTTAGCTAATTCTTGTCGCTGATAGCGTGAATGTGAATCCCGACACGCGCCACCCTGGCTCGTGTGTCTTTCTGCCTGACAACACAAAGCAGAGCAGCGAGGAGCACGAGTCGGTGTGAAACTTGAGAAACGCTGAGTGGGCTGGAAACTCCGGACTGGATTTCACATTCCTGACTTTTTTTTTCTTCTTCTTCTCCGTCTGTGTGTTGCTGACTGTTTAGGAGCCGTGTCGCCACCCTTTGGACATTAGTAGGCCTATCGTGGGTGGCCTTTGTCTGCCACTAGACTCAAGCATTTAGTTTAAGAAGTTGTCCTCTTCTGACCACCAGGGGGCAGAAGAACCTCAAAGATAAACGGGACACAAACGTGTTTACCAACCAGGAAGTGCAGGCCCCAGGGCCACAAAAGTGCAGTGGCCCTAAAAGCTTCAGGCGTATTCTGTGTCAACTTGTCGGTGCTTATTAAATTGAATATTGGTTTGGGGCTATGCACTACTGAAATACTGAAATGCGCTCACATAACAAGGTTCACGTTTTATTTTAAGTGTTTTGCACATATTGAAAATGGTTTATTGGTTACTTGAGTTGTTCCTCCTGTCCATATTCAGTCTTAATTATATTTTAATTCGTTTTCATCTGTATGTAGTTTGACTGTAAAAATCTTTACATAAATTGAAGTTGTACCATTTTTTTAATGTATTATTCAATTCAGAAAATATAAATTTAATTACATTTGGTAAGCATTGTCAGCATCATGATTCCATACAGATCCACACTAGAACTGCTATTTTGAGTGCATGAGTGCATTTACACTGACATGTATGGCAAAATGCAGTGCACAAGAGTACCTTGGTGAACCAGGTCTGAGCGGGGCAGACTGTCAGACCCAACTGCAGTAAATGATAGGTTTTCTAAAGGGACTCTGGTGTTTGGAAACACTAACATTTCCGTCCACAGGGACCACCACAATTAGCTCAAATAAAAGTTCCTTGTGGTAGCTTTAAGGAAGCAAGTTGTTTTGTTGGTGAGTCACGGTCTGTGAACGAACATTCGAAAAACAACGTCATGCAAGCTGTATTCTTTTTTCCCCAAAAGCGAACAACCTTGGAACATTAAGAAAACGTTCCTAAATAATATCAAGGAAACGTTCATTGTGGGGTTCAGCAAACATTTGCGTTTCTTACCCTCAATCTGAAAATAGTTTAAGCCTATAGGTACTAGCCCCAAAAGATATCCCTCTCAAAGCAACTTCAGTATAACCAAACATGGCATGTGGATCATAATCCATTTAAAGTTCCCCTCTTACAGTCGGACTCAGCTAGTGACACCCAGAAAGAACATTTACCTTTGCTTTTGTGTTTCTTATTAGCACCACCAGATGGAAGTATAGAACAAGAAATGGACAACCACATGCAGGCTCTGACCAGTGTCGACAGGGTGATACAGAATATGTACTTTTTTTAATGCAATTAGCATTTTTATCACTATTTTAAATGAGGTTTCTTTTTACACAAATATATCAACAGTACAGGATCAACTATTTTGGTAGCCAGAACTGTTCTCTTATTGAAGTATTATTTCTGTACGTTAGAGGGAGACATTGATCATAGAAGGTCACCATAACGTATGATGTAGTGGTTTCCTTGCTGAACTATAAGAAGCCAGTTATGGTTCAATACCAATCAATATCAGCTGTCTTAGGTTTAGTCATGACGTGAAATACGAAGCCATGATCTTTGTATTTTCCTGATTCAAGTCAAGTGGCATAATTAATCGTTTGGATTCCGAAGATACACTGTTGAAGAAAGCAGACACAGTTCCCTTGTTAGTCCTGTTTAATTACTCCAAAGCACCAACCATCCACCCATTAATTTTTCTAAACCAGCTTATCCTGTGGGGGGTTGCTGTGTGGCGGAGTCTGTCACAGTGTGCACTGGGCGAGCTGCAGAGCTGTTTTCTCTCACGAGAAAGCATTTGGAACGAAGAGAATGTTAATGAACCACAGTGACGTGCGTCACACTGATATTACTGTGATGATGTCATGCTCCACTTCATTGGCCTGTGGCGGCACTTCAATACCCAGTTTTCCCATGTCACCTCCTTCTCTTCAACATGTGACATCAAGGTCAGCATTTATGGTGTTGGAAACTCAGTCCTAATCCACACACACACACACACACACACACACACACACACACACACACACAAATATAAATATGCACAACAGTGTGAAGCTGTTAAGTGTCTTAAAAAAGGACTTTGCTAACAAAAGGCTAAATGAGAACACAACGTCATCACAGCCTTGTTGTGTAACTCGCGCTCATGCAGTGGTGTAGTTTGTCTATAGCCCGTTAGCTTTTTACATCTGCCGATCGCATTCACGAACCTCAAAAATCATAAAAGCGTTGTTCATTTGTGAAGATTATCTGGACAAAACAACAAGTATAATGTGTTTGCCACGGAGCTTATTTTCTGCAATAATCCAAAATCAAATGGAAAAATCCAATTGGCTTTTTGTCGTGGGAACCAGTGCGGCGCTAACTTACAGGGTTGGCCTTCAAAAATATGTCATCCCTGCACCACTCTATAAGGAGACCACAGCATATTTTGTGCATGGCCTACTCTGCTCAATGTGATTAATGTGACACAAAGGATTGTTACCTTCTTCTGAAAACATTTGGAAGGACATAAAGAGGGTAAATTGGTAAAATAAGCTTTGTAATCCTAAAGGACGACCTATTTGTAGCATAACACCACATTAAAACTGAGCAACAACAAGAACACAATATTTACAGTAAAGTTTCCTGATTGTGCATTTTGTACTGACAGTTTTACTTATCAAACTGTGTATATGATGTATTAACCAAGTATATACATTGTTTGATTTAGAATTTTGGCAGCTTGAGCCAAATACCAACAAACAGGGTTGGAAATATAAGGTTGAATTCACTAACAGAGCTTCATGTAAGTTATATTTCTACTTTCAGATCATTTAAGATCGAGAAAGTTGGTAGGCCAAACAGATTGTTGTAAGTGTACCTTTTTTGTGGGTAATGCACATTCAGTTCTGTTGAGTGTGAAGTCAGTGTAATGAGTTATCTTTCTGTCTCTTATTGCGTCATTCCAATTTGAATTTATAGACCTGTTACCCGTTCTCGGGTCTTGATCTCTGTCGCTGACCTTGATTACACATCTACACAGGAATGTCCGCTGATAGCTTATCGGCCTGGGTCAATATCTCACCTCAATACTGTCTGTTTGCTAAGATCAGAATGACTGACCCGAAGCTCAAGCTCACTTCAGTCCACTGCCTTTACATCAGCACTGATCATACTGGTGAGGTGAGGGAAGCCCTGCCTCAGTTCTGACAAAACCAGATAACATTACTGCATTTGAAAAATTCAAAGAGTGAGTGTGTCTCATTGCCATTCAAGTGGCGAGCACATTCTATTTGTCATGCATTCACTCATGGTCTTCCCAGTCTTCCATTCACATGATGCTACAGGAGTACAAAGGATTGTTTGCTGACGTCTGATAATACACTACTGAGTCAGCTCCACACAGATGAAAGATGAAAGATGACGCAAAGGTGTTAGGTATCACTTTGGCAAACAGCCGCAGGATTGGTGGGTAATACTAGATGTTGGACTTACATGGTAATGAGTGAGATCATCAGAAAACACACACACACACACACACACACACACACACACACACACACACAGTGTTCGACCACTTTCTCAATTGCAAAGTATTGTACCATACCTTTAATCAAAACTTGCTTTTTTGGTCATGATCTGATGTGTGTTTACGGTTTAGTCATCATACAGTAATTCTATCAATATTGGTTTGTCTCTGAACCCTCTTATGTTAAAATGTTTTTATGTATTTTTTAATAACCTTCACTATTTGATGTCTAATCTTTAGAATATTTTAGATATATAGAAAAGTTACAATGAAAAGCATTTGCTAATGTGTTTAAATCTGCCCTACTCCTGGAGAGGATCACTGATCATTGTTAAGGCTGGGCAGTGTTGTAGTGCTCGAGATCAGTCTTGGTCTCAAGACCATTTTTTGAAGGTCTTTGTCTCATCTTGTTCTTGGACTTCAGATTTTATTTCAAGATCGGTCCAGACCACAATTGTAAAGATGGTAAACTTATACATACGCACATATACAGTCTATATGGCAATTACAGAGGCGCACGAAGAGGAATCTTCATTTGCTTTCTGTGGGTGTTTTTTATGGGAATGTGGATCTTTCAGATCAATCTGTGGAGTGTTTATGGTTTCCAAGTTCTACATTTTATCGTAAGTGTGCCATGCAGTGTGGGACTCGCACTGGTCTGGTCTTGGTCTTGACTTGGTTTCGCCCTGCCTTGGTCATGATCTTGACTTGATCTCAACCCCTCATAGTCCTTTCCTGGTCTCGATACACTCTGGTCTTGGTCCTGACTTGGTCTCAGTTCAGGCGGTCTTCTTGAGTACAACACTGGAGCTTTTATCATATCTTTATTCAAGAGCATTTTTTTCCATTTGAGAGCATGACTTATATTTCACTTCAGATTTTGTAATGCTTTCCCGGAAAAAACAGTGTAATCACACTTAAATAGCCCCTGCTTGTGTTTGGATTTCAGTTTAAATTGTATGCTTGGACTCAGTAGGGGTCATGTCATTGGTCAACACCACAACTGGCTTTCTATTGGTTGGGGAATTTTGACAGGGTTGTTGCACAAAAACAATCGAAAAGCAGAGGAGAAATCTGAGAACAGATGTTTCATAAGCACACCTAAGCAGCCCGAGTGTGAGGATAAGGGCTGAAGCCGGAGGGCAGGAAATCTGTACAAGCCATAATATATCTGGGTGCAAGCATACAGTTTGAGCAGAAATCCAAGCGCAAGGAGGGACTATTTGACTGTGAGGATATGGTTTGAGGGAGAGCATTACAAAATCAGAAGTGAAATCAATAAAATATTCTCTCAAATTGAAAGACCACCTCTTGAATAAAGAACGTTTTCAAAAACCTACAACACTAAGCTGGGGTATGCTAACAAACAAAGGTTTGTATGTCAATCAACTATGTCTGAAGGCAAAACCTTTATTTATTCAAAA